TGATAGTCGGGGTGTCTTGCAGACTGTTAGAGTTTTGCTAGATAGTGGAAGTCAATCCAGCTTTATCACGGATACATGCCTTATGCGATTAGGCTTACCTCGTAGAAAGTCACACCTCCCTATTTATGGTTTAGGTGAAATTTCCACAAGTTCTTCAGGATTAGCCTCTTGTATCATTAGCGACCCTTCATCTACGTTTAATGTTGAGGTTGTGGGAGTTCCCAAAATTTGTTCTCATCTTCCAGAGCAACCCATTTTACTTGAAAACTTTTCACATTTAGCAAATTTAAAGTTGGCTGATGAGAAATTTAATCAACCTGCTGCGATTGATATGTTGCTTGGGGCAGACCTGTTTCCTTTGTTGCTGTATGAAGGGCGAATTGAGGGTGGTCCCGGAAAGCCAGTCGCACTTAATACCATATTTGGTTGGGTTATTATGGGAAAAACTGATATTCACCATACTGGTGTTCGTACATTTCTTATTACCAGTGAGTCACCCTTGGATGTGGCTATAAGAAAGTTCTGGGAAATTGAGGAAATTCCAGCTGAAATTTTGCCTTCAGACGAAGATATTTTATGTGAAAAAATATATACTGAGACAACCTTTATTGAACCAAATGGTAGATATGTTGTTTCATTGCCATTTAAACAAAGTGATCCCCAATTTGTCGATTCCAGAGATGTTGCTCTGCGACGGTTTCGCTCCTTAGAGCAGCGTTTATCAAAAACTCCCCCTTTGTATTCTGCCTATTCCGAATTCATGCAAGATTATTTGGACCGTGGTCATATGTCATTGGATTTATCTAGGGTAGGGTCCTCGAGTGGTCAAGAATATTTTATTCCTCACTTTTGCATTTTTAAGCCAGATAGTGTCACTACAAAGTTAAGAGTAGTGTTCGATGCTAGTGCTAAAGACGCTACTGGTTTTTCATTGAACGATGCTCTTTTAATTGGCCCTAAGCTTCAGCAAAGCATATTTTCTTTATTGCTAAATTTTCGGTTTCATGACGTAGTGTTTACCTGCGATATTAAGCAGATGTATCGTCAAATTCTAGTGACGGAGGCCCACAGAAGATATCAAAAGATATTGTGGCGTTTTTCACAAAATGACCCTGTTCAAGAGTTTGTGTTAAACACCGTGACGTATGGAGTGTCTTCTTCCCCATTTCTGGCTTTGCGCACTATTGCTCAAATCGCTGAGGATCAGAAAACTAATTACCCTGATGCATCTCAGGTTTTGAAATCAGATTCCTTTGTTGATGACTTGGTCACTGGGTCGGATTCTATTGCGTCAGCTTTACGCCTACAAGCAGACCTTATTCAATTATTGGGTCGAAATGGGCTGGAAGTACGTAAATGGGATTCTAATCACCCATCTATTCTAGAAACAGTGCCTCCCTCAGACTGTCCGCAACAGCCTCATTCCTTTGATAATAGCGATTGTGCTATAAAAATGTTAGATTTAACGTGGCTACCCACGTTAGACACCTTTTCATATACTTGCGTTCCTAAGAATAATGCTGCGACAAAAAGAGGCATCCTTTCTGAATTGGCACGCATTTTCGATCCTTTGGGTTTTATAGCCCCTGTATCTTTTTTTGCCAAATATCTCATACAGTATTTATGGGTATTGGGCATAGATTGGGACCAATCTGTTCCTCAAGAAGTCGAAAATCGTTGGTTGCAATTTCAAAATGAATTACCCACATTAAAGAATATAAGTGTTCCACGAAGAGTAATTTCGAGTGACTACCACTCAGTAGAGCTTCACGGGTTTTGTGATGGGAGCGAGAAAGGGTACGCAGCCGTGGTCTATTTTCGATTGTTGAGCAAAAATAGGGCTCCTGCTATTTCGCTAGTTTGCGCGAAATCTAAGATATCTCCATTAAAGAGAATTTCAGTTCCTCGTTTAGAACTATGTGGCGCAGTGCTCTTGTCCAACTTAATTTCGGAAGTTATTAATTGTTACTCTTCTAAACTTGTCTTCGCGGATATCTATGGTTGGTGTGATTCTAAAACCGTTATAGCTTGGATAAAATCCTCCCCTGACAGGTGGAAGACTTTTGTAAGTAACCGTGTTACACATATACAATCAAAAGTTTCTCAAAATATCTGGCATTATATTTCCACAAAAGAGAACCCTGCTGATTGTGCATCTCGTGGTCTTCTACCCACCGAGTTGATAAATCACCCCTTATGGTGGGCGGGACCTCCGTGGCTGCATTCTGACATACTTCCTTGTAATAAGTTGGAAGTTGTCATTAGTGATTGTAATGACGAATCCAGGCCATTTGCCCTTGTTTCGACACGCACATCCTCAGAAGTAGCTACATTACTTTCAAAATTTTCTAATTTTGGTAAAATTAAGAGAATAATAGCGTATTGCTTGAGATTTGCTTTCAATTGGAAGAATTCCGTCAATAAACGGCTTCATGATCCAGTTATGTCTGAGCTTAATGAGGCTCTTTTGATATTGGTAAAACAAACTCAAGCCGAATATTTTTTCGAGGATATTTCAAATCTCACAAATAACAAACCTATTTCAAATCAGTTACGACGATTGGTTCCTTTTTTGGATAGTTCAGGTATACTAAGAGTAGGTGGGAGGCTCAAACATGCTGATGTTGCGTATAATTACAAGCATCCATGCTGCTGCCACGTCAAAGCAGATTAACTGAGTTAATTATTATGGAAACACATTCAGACAATTTTCACCCTGGTTTTCAAACCACTCATTCTCTCATTTTGCAAAACTTTTGGATTCTGAATCCCAAGAGAGCCATTCGCTCTGTTATTGGAAAATGTTTAAGGTGTTTTCGGGTGAATCCTACGTCTAATATACCTCTAATGGCTGATCTTCCTTCATTCCGCGTAAATCAATTAAAGTGTTTCTCTCATGTTTGTGTTGATATGGGCGGGCCTTTTCTAATAACTCCCAATCGTACTAGAGGTTGTAAGACTTTGAAGGCATACTTATGTCTATTTGTATGTTGTAGTACAAAGGCCTTACATCTTGAAATCACTTCAGATTTGTCTTCAGAGTCATTTTTGGCGGCTTTACGGCGTTTTATCTCCACACGAGGAAAGGTGGTAAATATCTACAGTGACTGCGGCACCAATTTTGTTGCCAGCAGCAAATATATTAAAGACATAATGCAGTCAGCTTTTGAAGCTGAGAAAATTGCATGGAACTTTAATCCTGCCGCCCCACATTTTAATGGATTAGCCGAATCAGGGATTAAATCGGTTAAAACTCATTTAGTACGGATTATAGGAGATCAGATTTTGACTTATGAGGAACTGAACACTATTATAGTACAAATAGAAGCCATGTTAAATTCAAGACCATTGAGTCCCATAAGTTCCGACCCTAACGATTTGAATGCCATAACGCCTAGTCACTTTCTTATATTGGAACCGATCACGGCACTTCCCGATTTTGATTTAACCAGTTGCAAATTAAATACCCTAACGCTTTGGCAATTATTGATACGTATGAGTCAGGACTTTTGGAAAAGATGGCGCGATGAGTATTTGCATACTCTGTCTCAGAGATATAAATGGAATACCGCTTCAGATCACCTAAGATTGATATGCTTGTGGTTCTTAAAAATGAACAATTTCCTCTTTTACAATGGGAACTTGCGAGAGTCGTTAAATTACATCCAGGTTCTGATGGGGTTTGCAGGGTAATGACAGTCAGAACGGCTCGCGGCCTATTTCAGCGCCCGGTGGTAAAACTCTGCCCATTACCTGGTCAGTAGGCTTCTCTATGCTTGTTCAGGATGTTTTTTTATTAGGATTATAATTTTATATATTTTTTTTTTAATTTTTTTTGTTTTATACAAAATACGCATTCGGTATTTTGGTGGGCGGTAATGTTTGGGACTTACGTTTTATCGTAAGTCCTTTATTGTTATTGGTTTTGCCATTTATCGATTTTTGATAACTTTTTAAAAAATACACAGTCCACTGATTAGCTCGTACAGCCAGTTTTCTAGAAAAAAATTAAAATGTAAGAGGTGAATTTTCCTTAATTTTGTCTAAAAAAGTAAATTTTCCAGAGTTTTTCCTGGAGTGATTTTTCACTGGAAAATATTGAAATTTTTCTATAATGAATTCCTCACTTTTTTCTTTCTTCTGGAAAAATTTCACAACTTTCCCTTTGCCAAATTTCTAGAAAAAAATTAAAATGTAAGAGGGTGAATTCTCCTTAATTTTGGTTAAAAAAGTTTATTTTTTTTACTGAAAAATTTTGAAATTTTTGTAAAATGAACTCCTTATTTTTCTCTTATTCCTGAAAAATTTTTCAATTTTTTCCTTTGCTAGTTTTCCAGAAAAAAAATTAAGATGTAAGGGGTGAATTTTCCTTAATTTTACTTGAAAAAGTCAATTTTTCAGAATTTTTCCTGAAGTAATGAGCTCCTCGTTTTCTTCTTTTTCCTGGAAAAATTTTACCAGTTTTGCTTTATTAGTTTTCCAGAAATAAATTATGTGAGAGGATGAGTTTTCTTTAATTTTACTTGAAAAAGTCAATTCTCCAGAATTTTCCCTTCTCACTTTCCTCTTTTTCTTAAAAAAATTTCAAAATTCACCCTCTGCCAGTTATCTGGAAAAAAAGTCAATTTCCCAGAGTTTTCTCTGGAGTGATTTTCCACAATTTTCCTTTCGCCAGTTTCCCAGAAAAAAATTAAAATGTAAGAGGGTGAATTTTGCCTAGAAAAGTCAATCTCCCAGAATTTTTCCTGGAGTGATTTTTTACTGGAAAATTTTGAAATTTTCGTGTAATGAGCTCCTCACTTTTCTCTTTCTTCTGGAAAAATTTCACAACTTTCCATTCACCAGATTTCTAGAAAAAAATTAAAATGTAAGAGGGTGAATTCTCCTTAATTTTGCTTAAAAAAGTTGGTTTTTCAAAATTTTTCCTGGAGTGATTTTTTACTGGAAAATTTCGAAATTTTCGTAAAATGGTAAAAATAAAAATTCCCTATTTACTCCAGGTAAAGCAATAGTCCAGCAAATCGATGAACGCGAATCGATAAAAAAACAGTGGCAAAACGCAATGCAAATGCTCCAACAACGGAACAAAGATATCGAAGGCTACCATCTCAACATGGAAGTATTGAGAAACTCGTTGCAATCAGCAGAAATAAGATTGCAAGAGGAAAACAACATGTTGGAAAACGAGGAGCGGCAAAATCAGAAAATGAAAATGAAAATTCAAAACTTGAACGAGCAACATTCTAGAATGAAAGAAGGTTTGGAGAGGTTGGTGAATATAATAGCAACCACCCGAGGTGAAGTAAGTATGATGTTAATCTTATGACATAAATACTAAAGTCTCAATATCCTATATGTATATACATACTTACAATTTTTCCTTATTTTCACTAAATTAGTTTGGCAACTTGTTGTATTGATGGTTTGAGACAAGACTGGTCTTTACAATCTTAATATGTATATTTTGTTTATGAATAAATTATTATATTTTTCAGTATAGTGTCCTCAAACGAAAAGTCTCCTCATCGAGTCAACTGTTGGGCAAATTAAGATTGCAAAGCAAAGAGCAAGACAAAGATATTGACAAATATAAAAGGTATATATACATATTTTACATTTGGCTTACTTTTTCAAAAATAATCAACTGCCTTATTTATACAGGGTGATAATCAAAAACGAAAAAAAAATCAAAACCCTATACGGCCAAATTGAAGACATGAAAAATACGACAAATTCTTCATCAGAACGAGTCGAAAAGATTTACAAAATGATCGATGTTGAAGAGAAACGTTGTGCCCTGTTAACAACTGACACGGAAAAAATCAACAACCATCTTTACCGCACGGTTCAGTTGCTTAAAGAACAAGAATCGATTGGTAAAACTCTCGAAGCCCAAATCAACAATTGCCAATGCATTGCCAACAAGTTGCGCAAACATATACGAGATGAAAAACGGAGTTTGGAAAAACTAAAAGAAGTCGTTTACGATATGCAATTTAGGATTGACGAATTTGAGCAGAAATTATGCAAACTGGAAGGGTCTAATAACAAAGACGAGTTTGTTGATGAAAAAGAAGAGAAAATTAAAGAGCTGGAGAAAACTTTGGCCGATCACTCTGAGGTACTTCACACCCTACAAAATCAAGTTGACAGATTGCAGGACGAAATGCGCAAACTTTCGAATTTTATTGCTGCCAACATGGATCAATTGGAAGTTGTGCAGAATTCCGTCGAGAATTATTTGTTGGAGTACGACATTGGTAAGAATAAGAACTGTATAATGTTTTGTCATGAATTCCGGGTTCACTAATACTCACACAGTTTACAAACAACTTTTTAGTCTGATGCATTCCTCAATTGCCACAAGTGAGTAATGCAATTGGAGAGCCAGGGAGCCTGTATAATAAGCCTAGAGCGATATATTTCTTGTACACAGAGATTCAAAGTTATTATACACGGGTCTGCACTGACATATCAAAACTCAGATTCATAAAATAAAAGTTCCCCTTGAGGTTCCTACATGAGCAAGCCACCACCACTTTGTCCAATTCGAACCAATTATACATAGTCAGGAATATTTTGGAGCTCAGACATCATTAAGCCATGTTTCTGAAATTCCAATTATGTATGTCGAAATCGCGTTCCTTTATGATTGCAGAAAAGATGGCACCAGGGATCGAATATTCCCTTAAAGTCGATGATTATTTTGTGTTAAACTTTTTATATATTCAGTGATGATATTTCTAAAAAATATTTTGACACGGCATCACCCTCAGCATGGGCCTCGATAGTTTCTTTATTATTCTCTCTAAGACTTAACACAAGTTAAGACTGACAATAATGACTTGAGTTCAATACCTGATCACCAACATCAGCATGTATTTCAAAACAAAGAAACTGATGAGCACATAAATAACGAGCTACATGCTTCCTACCGTCATATTAAAGTTCTTCATTCAAGGCCTTTCTTCGTACTGCATAAAGCAGTCCATATTTATGAAAAATGAACTTCTAGCATCATTTTGTATACATTTATTGTATGACGCAATTATTTTTATGTATGAAATCATTTACCATTCCTGAGCTGCATAAAGAGAACCAGTCAGTATGGCCCGGAAGATAACGGAAACTATGTGGCTATTAGGTATAAGTACAAGCATGAAATTTGGACCCCACATTCTCAAGGTGATTTTAAGAGATTTCAGTCAAGTCCTCAAAAAAATCCTCCATAAGGTGGGGAGTTTCTGCCATTTTTTCAAAATGGCCAACTTCATTTTTTTGAAATATCGTAAAATAGCTTATTTTTTTTAAAAAAAAAACCCATTAGGAATATTCTTTGATTTTGAATAAAACTTACAAAAATTTCACACCCATAGAAAATGGCGTCCAGCGACTACAGTAGCTCTTATTCAAGATGGCTGCCAACTTACATAAAAATCTAAACCAGACAACCAACCGTAACTTGTGATACCTCGATTTCGACTAATTTTGGATCGAGAAATCCATTTCTTGTGATAAAAATATCATACATGTTGCCGTTTCGCTTTTATGCGCTATTTTTTCAATATGGCGACAATAAATTTGACACAGTCTTGAACTTATAGCTTATGGGGTACGTATTTCCACATCGTAAATCGAATTTTGATAACAAAACAAACGTAGGAGCTTCCGTTTTTATTTTGGGGCAATTTTTAAAAATGACAGCTACCAATTATCTGAACAGTCTGAATTAGAGCACGTGGGATATCATTTAATATCAGTTTTTTTCTCCTAACATAATTTCGCAACGAGCAATAAATATACAGGGTGAGTTACTAAGCGCGCGGTGGTCCATACCTCCTATACTAACGGAGATCGGAGAAAAAACTAAATATAAAACTTGCAGATAAATAAATATGAGTACCTACTACATTCCTAAATTATTTTTCAGTATACAAGGTGGCCCAATAACTAGAAGTGACACACAGTTATGTTTTTTTTTTTAAATAACTTCCCCTGTATATTATGATGTCATTTCTGGATTCTGCGGAAAATTATAGACATATTTTATGTATAATGTAATATACCTATCTTCAACTGTTTTGGAAATATTGACAGTTGAAAATTGACTTTTTTGCATCTTTGACACACTCTGAAACCTAAACGGTTAATTTTAGAGGAAAACGAATTTTACATTCCTGTCTTAGATTTTCATAAGCTATCATTTGACACCAACTTTGAATTTAACGGAAGATTAATAATTAAGGCGGAATTTTTAATCATGGATTAATTTCAAGATTGGTGCCAAATGATAGTTTATGAAACACTAAGATAGGAATGTGAAATCCGTTTTCTTGTAAAATTAACCGTTCAGGATTTACAGTCTGTCAAAGATGCAAAAACGTCAGTTTTCAACTGTCAATATTTCTGAAACAGTTGAAGATAGGTATATGACATTGTACATGAAATATATCTAGAATTTTCCGCAGAATTCAGAAATGTAGTTATGTGTGCCATTCGTGGGAACATGCTGACCATTGCATCGCCGACCTAAGCAGTTTCTTGTAAGTTTGAAACCAGCTGTGTAAGCTTGAAACCAGGATGCCCCATGCGAATAAACTTTTAACCATCAGATTAGACATAGACTTTGAGCTGTTCACAAGTACTTTTGCTTTATTATTTTTGAAGTTGTAATTTTTAAATTAAAGTTAATTTTTTAAAAACGGTTTCTTTATTACCGGAAACGTAAAGTGGCGCAGTCGTACGGATTCTTGAAAGGGCTTTCTCGTCGAAAAACCCTTCGGTCCTAATCGTTAATTCAAGAAACGAACCTTGAACCCGGAAACAAAAACTCTGTTAAACGGACAAGAACATTGTGTATTGTGTAAGACTTGTGTGAAATAGTTGTGAAGAGAGGTGAAGATTGAAGAAGAAAAATGAATAGCTTCCTATTGTAAGTCCCATTTTCTTTACATTGTCCTTTACCTGTCTATGTTTAACTCCCCGGATTTATCTGATTCTGAGACGGAAACCAGTGAAAACGGGTCAATTTTAATTGATAATAGTAATTATTCAAATCAGTTAGATTTAAATACTTCTTTACATTTAGAAAATTTATTTTCGAATATTTCCATAAGCGAGAGAATCGAAACGATGGCTCCACCACATTTCGAAACCAAACTACGAAATAGTGCCAAAATTCGATGGCAACCCTTTAGAGTTAGCTTCATTCCTTGAAATAAGTCAAAAACTGATTTCGACTTATTGGAATAGTGAAGATCTCAATTGTGTGCAAAATCTCGCAATAATTTATGGAATATATGCTAAAATAATTGGTAAAGCTAGGGAAGTTTACAGCATTTGCGTATCTAAGGACTGGAAGACAGTCAAAGACGCTTTGATTGCACATTTTGGTGATCAAAGAAACGAAAATGGCTTATTGTTTGATTTGGATCAACTCAGACAAAATGCAAATGAACCCCCTTTGCAATTCCATACTAGAGTTATGTCTAATTTAAGTGCTTTACATAATTATATTGATACCCACAATAATTTTAATGATCCAACAAGTATTGTTAAAAAGAATTTTTATAATTTACATGCTTTAACAATATTTTTGGCAGGTTTAAAAGAACCACTAGGTTCAACGATCTGTTCGATGAAACCAAAAGATCTAGCCGAAGCTAGACAGTACATCATTTCGGAAAGTAACATAAGGCATTTACAAAAACCCCAAAATGATAATTTTGCTAATAAAAATAAACATCAAAATCAACAGAAGCAGAATTTTCATCAAAATAACTTTCCACGTTTCAACACTTTTCAGCAAAATTACACGCCAACACGAACGTTTCAATCACCCGGAAACACATTTCCGCGTGCCCCAATAAACGTTAATCCCAGACAAATGCCACCACAAAAATTTTTCACCAACCAACAAGTGTTTGGTTCACCCAAAAATGTTTGGAAACCAAACCCTCAAGCTGCCCAAAATTTTCAAAAATCAGTACCAATGAGTGGCATATCTAATTTGCAAAAACCAGTACCAATGAGTGGCGTATCTCACGGTACCAATAGATTCAATAACCAAAATTTCCAACTACATAATGTAGAAAATGCACCCTACTATCTAATTCCAAATCCTCACTACGCCGAAAATTATAATTATTATTATGATTACCAAGGCTATGGTGATGGTAGTAACGACAATAGTTATTCAATGTAAAACGATCAGGTTGACTCCCAAGATTTTTACAATGACCCAAGTAACGGTCAAACCAAAACCAATGAACCTGCAAATTACGATCAAACTCCCATTGAACAAAATTTTCAAGAGGCGGAGCCTCCCGCCGAGATGCCGTAGAAATACATTCTATTTATGACAAAAAGGATCTCCCTTATGTTAAAATAGCAAATCCACCCTTAAAGCTATTAATAGACACAGGAGCTTCAAAATCCTTTATCAATCCGGAAATTGCTGAAAAATATTTCGAAAATTTCATAAGAAAAGAGCCATTCACAATTTCCTCTGTTTTTCAATCCACTACTAGAGACCAATGTGCCGAAATTCCAGCTTTCGAAGAATTCAAGTCCGTAAATAAATTGAAATTCTATTTATTCAAATTTCATCATTATTTTGATGGCCTTATTGGCTATGACACTTTAAAAGATCTTAATGTCAAATTGGACTTACAAAATGACTTACTTAAAACACCTAAAGCTCAAATTAAATTGTCACACTATGAAGCAACGTCAAAATTACTATTTTTTACCCGAATTGAACCCAACACTATAGAAATATTAAACATCCCTGTAACAATACCAAACGGCGACATTAGTATTTACAAAACCTCGTTGTCTAACTGTATTTTAAAAGAATGCTTAACAACTGCGAGCGACGGCTATGCCCCAGTAGAAATTCATAACAATACTGATAGCGTCCAGGAAATATCTTTGTATAACCCAATTCCTGTACAAGCGTTCAATAAAGCCGATGTTGAAATCTATAATATTTCTATAGAAAACACACCTAATGAATTCCCTAATAGATTCGATATTGTCGATATCATTCGAACCCAACACATGAACGAGGAAGAGAAGTTTCACATAGAAAAATTATGCCAAAAATATTCGGACATATTTCATCTCGAAAACCAACCTTTGACTTTCACTAATCAAGTAAAACATAGGATAAAAACTACTGACGAACTTCCGGTCTATACCAAATCGTATCGATATCCGTTTATACACAAACCTGAAGTAGAAAAACAAATCGGTGACA